GTAAATAAATATGGAGCTGGGGAGATCATTTAGAGGTCTAGGAGCCTTTCCAGAGATTGTAAGATTGCAGCATAAGGTCACAGCTTCTGTTAATTTAGGGATCAGCCTATGGTTAGTCATGAGTCTCTATATACATTACAGTCACACCTCCAGAAATATATATTCAGTACCAGAGGATGGTCCTCATCTTTGTCCTGGGCCTACATTCTTTTGGTTATTTCACATGTCATTACATTTCCTCTTAACCATATCTTCCCAACTAGATTTTAAAAATCCTCAAATGTGCACTCATGAGACCCTTGGAACTTGTAAACATATTCTGCAAATCTAATCAAGGAAACAACAAATATACTCATTAAAAAAACAAGCAATATTTACAATATAAAGTTACTAGAAACTTACTTCCATTAAATGTATATACTCAAAACTAAGTTTTGTTTGTGTTTTTTTTTTTTTTTCAATTTAGACCAAGTTTTGTCTATCATGATTTAAGTTTGCATTTTCCTTTAAGATTAGGTCATGAATTTTATCTACAAGAGAACAAAGTTTGGCTTTTTGGAAACTCTTAATCAAAGTTTCATACGCTTCTTTCTTCCCATGGATTTGATACCAATTACGGAGCAGCTGGACTTTCTGTTCAGCTGAGTCGTGGACGTGGTCATTCTTGATCTCATCTATTTTGGTTTCACTGACACCATTCTTTCGCACAAATTCCTTAACTTGGTTTACTGTCATTAGTTCAGCAATACTTGTGATATATTTACTCAAGTCAATGTCTGAAAAATAAAGATTAGACTCTGAAAAACTGTTTTCCTGAATGAAATTCCCATTTCTGGAGACCATGCTTATTTCTCCTCTAATAGTACTACAATACAGTAAGTTCTAAAGGTCTAAAGACTTGATCAGAAAACAAAACAAAACAAACAAAAAAAGAAAACAGAAACAACTTTGAGTTCTAATCCTATCTCCTCCGTAATTTTCTATATGACATAGGCAAGATATATAACATCTCTGTATCTTTTTTTTCATCTATAAAATAAGAAACATTGAAAAGATCACTCTAACATTCCTTACAGATATAATGATCAATAACCTACAAATTTAAAAGGGCAGGCAAAGAGTTTATGGTCCTAATATTTAGGAATCACAGGTCAAATAACTGAATAGAATCACAAGAGAGTTAGCACTAGACTATACCAATAATAACTGAACCACAATATAGATTAAACTTAAGTAAAACTGGGTAGGACTTCTATACACATATCCACTTTGAAGGAAAATTATCTCAAACCTGGGAATATAGTGTCTTACTATTAACTGGCATATTTTTAACTCTAAGTATTAATTACAAATTTAAACAAACCGCCTGATAAGTTCTTGATGGTGAGAAGAAATAACTGTGAGCTCAAGGACTATGTCACTTAAATAAGCAACATTATTTTATCTAAGTGCCCTATTAACCCAGGAAGCTACCCCTATGAAATATGAGATAAAACATAATAGAAGCCTTACCAGTGAAATCATTTAGCAATGTTTCCTGGGGAGAAAAAAAATGGAAGAGAGATAATTAAAAATGTATTCAAATATTTTAAATATAATCCAATTTTTCCTTAATACTAAAGGAAGTGTACAATTAGTTGTTTGTTAGATAAAATTAGTTAGGCTAAGTGGTTAATTCTGTGTTTTTATTAAAAATGTTCCAGCATGGTCACACCATGTTTATTGCTGCTGTATTTACAATTGGAAAGATGTGGAAACAACCCAAATGCCCAAATGTAGATGACTGGATTAAAAAGATGTGTACATATAGACAATGGAATATTACTCAGCAACCAAAAAAAAATAAACACATGCCTTTTGCAGCAACATGGATGGAGCTTGAAAAGATCATACTTAGTGAAATAAGAAAAGGAAAAATTCCAGATGGTTTCACTCCTAGCAGGAATTTAAAAGTCCAGGGGAGAAAATAATAATGAGCAACTATATACCACAGACATTTTATGGGGGTGGAGTGGGGTTTGGGATCAAAAACTGTGGGGGAGGGAAATGCACTGGACTATGGTGATGGCACATGGGTGATTTGGTGATGGGAAGCCCATGGGAATTACATCTGAGATGGAAAAAGGCACAAAATGATGTAAAAACAAACTATTATATTATTTTAAAAAATTAAGGAAAAAGAAAAGGTTCCAGCATTGTCTTATATTTTTACACAGTCAAGGAATTTAAGGAATTCATGGTATGGACTGAAATTATTTTTAACATAGATTTAAAAAAATAAACAACAAATGTAACTACTCAAAAATTTCTTTGCTATAAGCTATTTTTGAGACAAAAAGTGGTTTTTAGCTGAAATTACAATAGACCCTTGAATAACAACACAGGTATGAAATGAGAGTCCAGCTATACTGTTTTTTTACTAAACAGATGATGCAGACATACCAATATCTAATATCAACCAACACAGTATAGTTCTGTAAGTGTATTTTCTCCTGCTTATGATTTTCTTAATCACCTTTCCTTTTCTCTAGCTTACTTGAGAATACAGAATACAATAATAATATTGTTAAGAATACCATATATAGTATGTCTGACAAACAACTTACATGCATGTTTATATGACTAGTATTTGACTTCTGAAGGAGTCAAAAGGAGTCAAAGTTTGCAAATGGTCTCCCAGGTGGGGTATGGAGTTTGGTCACTTCCTTTTTTTCAGTTCACATTCAGCACAATCTCAATTGAACTTTGGCAATTCAATGTTATTTATATAGAAGTTTACTTAATAAACTAGTACCATGTCTTAATTCATTTTTTTAGATTTATTTATTTATGCATACAGAACAAGGTACTGGCCAGAGATGCAGGGGTGGTGAGAGATTCACCAGAGCCAGAGTGGGGAGCAGAACAGGCAGATCGACAAATTACACTGCTGAGGGGAGCAGTGGTGAGACAGAAGAGGTCTGCTGTGACATATGCATCACCTCCCTGGATGGCGGGGGGAGATCAAACTTAGCTGAAAAGGCTGGGGTAGCTTGGCAGTGCTGTGCTTTAACCCACTATACCACCAGAAGGACCCTTTAATTCATTTTTTTTTAAGATTTATTTATTCATACTGAACTGGGGTACAGGCCAGAGATGTGGAGAGTGAGAGGCTTCACCAGAGACAGAGTGGGGAGCAGAACAGGTACAACGATGAAGTACACTGCTGAGGGGAGCAGCGGGCGAGTCAGGAGAGGTCTGCCTCGCCATGTGGATCCCCTCTGGGGCTGGTGGGAATCGAACTCGTGGAAGTGGTTTAAGCTTCTTAGTGCTGTGCTTTAACCCACTGAGCCACCCCTTAATTCATTTTTTATGTCCTTTTAATTCATGTGCACAGAAACACAATAAATGTTCATTTTAAAAAGAGATAAAAAATAAAAATATGAAAGAAATATTTAAGAAAGTTGATGCAGTTTTCAACACTTACAGAGTTTGGAGCCTTAAATTCATGATGACCTTTCTTTTTATCTCTGTACCGCCTATATATGCCTGAAAGATCAAAAACAATTCTATCAGACTCGGGGCTCAGCTTTGTAGGAAGTAGGTAAGAATATGCTCTCATGTTAAGGAGGTATAAGAAGGAAGAAGGAAAAATTCACTTCAAGTTCATTTGACCAAACACATTGTCCCAATTTTAGACCTCCCACTCTTTTAGACCTAGTGTTCTTCAACTATGCTACATCTTAGTTGAGTCGTCCAGTTATCATAAACGACCTATTCTGAAGCCGGTTGGTACCAGCTCTCCTTCTCACTAGCCTGGCATGGGTAGCACAGCTACAGGAGGGCATGAAGACACAGACTATGGAAAGTCATCATCAGCTAGTGTGAAGTGGCATTAAGGCCCAGAAATCTAAAGACACACTCATTGAACTCAAAAGTACACATTCAGTGAATAGGTCCTTGGAGTCGGTAAGAGTTGAATGAAAGTATCTGTAAGTCTCTAGGCACAATTATTTCATTTACTTAATTTTTAAAGGTTTATTTATTTATGCAGACAAAAACTGGGGTATAGGCCAAAGGTGCAGGTGGGCAAGAGGGCTCACCGGAGACAGAGTGGGGAGCAGAACTGGTAGATGCGCCAAAACACATTGCTGAGGGGAGCAGTGGGTGGGTCAGGAGAGGTCTGCCACCCCAGGTGGGTCTCCCTGGGATTGAACTAGTGCTGCAGTGGCTGCAGACAGCTTCACAGTGCTGTCCTTCAACGTGTTGTGCCAGCAGGGAGGGCCAACTGCATTTAAACATTTACTTTTTTTTAGTTAAATTCTATCAAAAGGTAAGGTAATCTCTTTATCTTCAGTTGAACTGATGAAATGTGGCTTGTTCCAACAGAGAAGGAAAAATTGGAAGTTTCAGAGTTATGTAAAGTTGATTGTATTCTGTTTTATGCATGATTGAAAGGAATTGCTTTTGAGTAACTAGGACTATACCTAACTTGGACTTAGCTGCTGGCCTTACTAAGGTAGACCTTGCAGAAAGTGTATTGACACAGTATTTTCAGCTTATGTGCAATAATAAACATACATGGAGTTTGGACAAGGGGGAGAAGCCAGGAGAGAGAATTTATCAAATATCCCTTGCATGCCTTTCTTGGGAAAATCCTTGCTTCATGTGTCTACTTATTTTTATTTTGTTGAAAGATTTATTTATTTATGCATACAGAACTGGAGTGTAGGCCAGAGGTGCAGGGGTGGTGAGAGGATGCACCAGTAGTAGTGGGGAGCAGAACAGGCAGTTAGACAAAGTACACTGCTGAGGGGAGCAGAAGGTGGGTCAGGAGAGGTCTGCTGCACCATGTGGATCACCTCTGGGGTGGGGATTGAACTCACATTGAAGCGGCTGCCACTAGCTTGCAGTGCTGTGTCCTACTTTATATGTGGGGCAATCTTAATGCACAGTAAAACATTACTTCAGATTCTTGGTCAACCAGTCTGCTTCCAGGATGAAAAAACCCTGATTCATAGGAACGATAGGAATATTCACACAGTGCTTCCAAAATGGTCTCACAGAAGCAGTAACTGAGGGATAAGGACATTTATTTGTATCAGCTCTCATCAGGTGTGATACTTAGCGCCAGGAATTTAACAATATAAATCGTTACCTACCAACTACTTGCCTGCCTGGTAGGAACTTTCTCCTAAATGAGAAACAGATGGAGTTCTTGAGAATTATTACTTCTCAAGTTACTTCTGTGGTTGAACAAAATTAGAACTTACCGAATGAGATTAGTGTAGCAATTGGTACCAGGACAAGCAACCACAGCAAGTTAGATCTGGAGCCTGCAGATTGGAGTATGGCACAGTTACACTTCAGAAGCAATCTTTAACATTAAACAAGATACACTCAAAGAATCAAAAGACCTGGCTTCTCTTTATATCTGACTATAGGAGGGGATGGAAGAAAGAACAGAATCATAAAAAGAAATAATCACCTTCTTTGCATTTGGTGTTACTGGTTGATGTACAATTCTCAATGATTCCATGTTCACACCTAGAAAAATACACAGAGGAAATTTTCAAAGCCTGCGGGACTGATTCCGTGATCATTTTTCATGATACATTATAAATGTGAGGCCATTTTACCCATGGTAGCTCTGGCAAACATTTTCCCTCAATATTTCTAGATTAGCACCTAAAGCTGACACATGCATACTATAATTTGGGTGTTCAGATGAAACGTATCCCAAAGAATGACTGTATTTTTTAAAAAACCAAGAGTTAATAGAAGGTAATCAAATATTGAAGAAAAAAGGATAAAATAGGAAAAAAAAAAAGCCCTCAGCACATTTATTGATAATAATGTGACTTCACAAATGCTAGGAAGCAACAATGAACTGCCAAAAACAATTCCAAAACAGCCCCATAGGACAAAAAAAGCGGCCAAACAAGAGTGCTGCCCATATTTCCGGCTAGGGAGCTATCACGTGGCTCTCAGAGGTTCCTCATTTAATATATGGGGGTGAGTAGGTGACACACGTAGGATTTTCTTCAAACAATGGGACACTGACACTCTGATGAAGCTACAGCATGGCTCTGCCTGTTACTTAATTAGGTGAACTTGGGCATCTCACTTAACCACCATGAGCCTGTTTTCTCATTAGCAACAGGAGGTCACCCTACCAACTGCCTCACAGAGTCATGGTGAGAAAATGAAATCAAGATGATGATCTATTTAGGTCTACTCCCTAACAGTGTTTTATAAATTAGGCCCTCTCCCATAACTTCTACTTAACCTGTCATTACTTGGACCCTTGGGGCTGGAAGGGAGGACTAGGTTAACTGCATGCGCCTTAACTTTTACGAATAAGTTAAAAATAAATAAATAAACCAGAAGGCCTCATGTCCCTACTCTCAAAAGATCCCAAGATGAAGTATAAGTTTGAGAAGCTCATAAATTTCAATCCTAAATGTTTATGTCCATACAAAGCACTAATTTACAAAGAAAGTCTATTTTTATAATGTGGTTACCCAATGTGGATTGTCACAGAAATGAGGTTGATAGGACAAGTCAATATTTTCTGCAATCTATGAGTGAGAAAACTAAAGCTCAGAGAGGTTAACTGATCTACACAAACTTAACCAATTCATTGGGAGAAAAGTGAGTTGCACAGATTTTCTAAATTTGGATCAAAATCAAGCTCTTCAGCATGAAAGATAAGCTCCAGTCTTTCAAGCCAGTCATCCTGGCTCCTTATACCTGCCACGCATTTTGTTCCCTAGGAACTTCCTCTGTCTCTTGCAGTTGCTGTTCCCTGGCCTGAAATGTCTCTTCCATCTGTGTACACCTGGTAATCTTTTTTCTTCTTCAAAACTCAAGCCACATGTCATACCTTCAGATAGAGATGGAAGATTCTCCTGTATAACTGATAAAATCCTAAGGGCAAGTCTCTTCTGATGTTCGCCATATGGTGTTGACATACAATAAACATTGGTTTTCTGGTGTTTTTCTGTCCCTAGCCCAAGACCTTTGATGTCAGAGTGTGTCTTGTTCATATCATTAACTTTATCAGCCAACACAATGTCAAGCACACAGGATGTCTTCAATAAATGTTTGGAGATAGTATTCATATGAAAAAAATGTTTATATAGTTGCTTGGAAGCAAAGTAGGACTAAAACCCAAATTCTTGACTCTCAGTCAGTACTGCTTCCACACTAGGAAAACATTATCTCTGTAGGGAAATCAAAGTGACCCCATATAACATTAATGCAATTTTAGTCCTGTGACCAATACTGACCAACTCTCTAACCCAGGGCAGATAGCCAGTTTCCCCATGGCTTCATTATGTGTACCATCTGTACTGATCTGTACAAGACTCTACAGATCTTACTAGAATAAAGACTCAAGAGACATGCCAATTCCCCTCACCCCCATACACACACACAAAAACCTGGTCTCATTAGTCTTACACAAGAGAGATCACATGTACTAAGGGTATAAGAAGACCTCTGTCAGGGGTTGGTGCAGATCCTGTCTCCAACTCAAGTCCTAATCACCAACTCCAGCATTGAGGACTCCTGTATACAAGTAGCTCTGAATAAGCTTCAAGATTGATTAATAATTTGTTTGCTTCATTTTTCAGACTCAAATTACCTCAGTTGGAGAGAACTTATTATTCCACAGTCACACAGCTCTCAAGGCATATCTAGCATTTTAATCAGAGAAAGATTAAACTTACATAATGCAAGGATTACAGTGTTCACATGCAGAATTCTCACAAAAAAAGTTTGCTTTACATCTGCATTTGGTGTTCTGTATCCGGGTACAGTTTTTTTCTACTTCAAAACCTAAAGAATCAATTTGCAGACCATTAATCACAGCTAGAAATAAACAGATTATGAAAATAGGCTCCAACTAGAATCATCAGGACAAAAGAAATCCCCAGTGAGGGGGGAGTATCCTATCCATCTCTTGGGTTTGTTTGTCCTTGTATTGGCAAGCTTATGATCCTTTCTGAACATAAACAAGAGCCATTACCCAAGTGTAAATCAAAGCAGAATAAACTATTTCTACAATTATGATTATAGAGGATGAGACTCTTCACAGGGTTCAGAGTAAACTATTCTCCTATGTCTGGGAGAATTGCTTAGGCTGGCTCCAAAGAAGTCTAGACCAGTGCTTACTTCAGCACCTGGTCCTTCTTTACTCCACCAATCCCAGCCCATTTCTTCCTCTATGCCAACAAAGCACCAAATATGTGCCAATTTCACACTGTATCACAAGTGGTTCTATGTGGATGCCATCATTGATCCCTCTTATATTTTAAGGTACTTACCATGTTCTGCATCACAAATGCTACATCTTCTACATTTAGTGGAATAATGATCTACTTCTGTATACTCCTTTCCTTCTGGACAAGGTTCACAGGTTGGCTTTCCTTTACTTACTGTGCAGTCAGCAACTTTCCTTTCACCTGCCCAAGAACAAAACAGAACAAGTGACTGAACTTGAGGTGGCCATGCAGTCATATAGGAAGTATAAAAAGATGACAATAAAACATTCCATTTCTCTAATGACAAATGATAATGTGCTTGTTTTCATGTGCTTGTTTGCCATCTGTATGTCTTTTTTGGAGAAGTATCTGCTTAGCTCTTATACCCATTTTTTTTTTATTGTGTTATTTATTGGGTTTTTTTTTTTTTTTTTTTAGTTAGATGAGTTATACATAGATCTTGGATACTAGCCCTTTGTCAAATGTATGTTGTACAATTATTTTCTGTTTTATTTTGTTTTTGTTTTAGTGATAGTTCCCTTCATGTGCAGAAGACTTTTGGTTTGGTTTAGTATCAGTTGCTTACATTCCTTTTTGTTTTTCTTCTCGGAGATGAATCTACAAATCTGAATCAACAAATCACCAGAACCTATTTTGTGGAGGGTTTTGCCTGTTTTCTTTTATGTATTTTATTGTTTCAAGTCTTATATCCAAGTCTTTTATATATTTTGAGTTAATTTTTGTGTGAGGTAGTGGTCTTTCATTCTTTTTATCTGACTTGAACAGTCCAGAATTAATGAGTTTCTTCTCTCTAAACTGTACTCTTGGCTACTTTGTAATAAATTAACTGTCCTTAGATGGTCAGGTTTATTTCTGGCTTTCAATTCTATTCTATTGATCTATGAGTCTGCTTTTTTTCCAGTGTCGTACTGTTTTGATCATTATAACTCTATAGATAGCTTGAAGTCTGGGTGTTAATACCTCCATTCTTCTCCTTTTTATGAATTGCTTTGGCTATTTGGAGTCCTATATGATCCCATGTGAATTACAATTATGTTTTTCTATATCTTTGAAGAATGTCATTGAACTTTGATAGGGATTGCATTACATCTGTACGTTGCTTTGGGTAAAATGGCTAAAGTAAGAATGTTAATTCCTGAAATTTATAAGCTGGAAATATCTTTCCATTACTTTGTCTTTTTCTTTCTTTAAGCAATCTCTTATATTTTTCATTGTAAAGGTCCTTCCCTTCCAATAAGTTTACTCCAAGATATTGTTTTTGCTGTAACTGTAAATGGGACTGTTCTCTTGATGTCTTCCTCTTCTAGCTTTTTTTTTTTATTTTTGCATATAGAAAAAGACTTTTTTTTATATTGACATTGGTTTTTTATGTTCTAAAGTGTAATAACTTTGCCTTCCCCTGTAAAATCCCTTTATCTAACAAAAATATATTAAATGCCTACTGTGTACAAGGTATTTTCTGGAAGGTGGAGATACTGCCAGAAACAAGATAAAGCCTTGCTCTCCAAGGACATATTCTCAGGGGAAAACAAAGTATATCCAAATAAATACATGATATCAAATGATGCTTATTACTTTGTGGGAAACTAGGTTAAGGTAAAGTGATAGAAAATGAAGACAAAGAAGAAAGCATAAAGGGAAATTTAAGAAAAACACATGACTCTTATTATTAATGGTATAACTGATTAAAAAGAAGAGGCAATGTGTCATCTGCTCCACTCACATATGCAGCAAAATAACTGATGTCTTTCCTGGGTACACAACTTTTAAAAAATCTTATAAAATCTTTTGTATAAAACAAAATATTTGCTACAGGAACAGATTAAGAAATTTAATATGTGATGTTTTAATACACAAAGACAATGAAGATAAATAAATAAATCACAAAATTCTTGAGCCAAATTCAAATACAATGCATCAGGCCTATGTCACATATTACAGCAATATTTTTTTAAAGATTTAATATTTATTTATGCATACAGAACTGGGGTACAGGCTAGAGGTGCAGGGGTGGTGAGAGGCATCACCACAGACAGAGTGGGGAGCAGAACAGGCAGATCATTGAAGTACACTGCTGAGAGGAGCAGGGGGCGGGTTGGAGAGGTCTGCCATGCCATGTGGTCACCTCCGGGGCAGGTGGGGATCGAACTCATGCTGTAGTAGCTTTAGTTTCTTAGTGCTGTGCTTTAACCTGCTGTGCCACCAAGGAGGGCCTACAGCAATATTTTTAAGGAAACTGAACCAAGGTATCATTTCATTGGCTTGCCAATGGTACTACACTGACTTTGAAGTGAATTGTCTTTTTTAATGAATTACCTTGCAGAATATGCCTAGCAAAACAAATTACAAGATTTTTCCCTCCAAAGTAAAAAACTTATGTTTATTAAATATAAAAATGACTGGTTGCTTTCTTCAAAACAAGATCTTGAAATATTTTTTTCTGGCTATAAAAGTAGGTAAGCAGATTGCAGAAAATTTGGAAAAGGCAGGAAATAATAAAAAGCATCCATAAATAAATTATCCATAAATATTCATTGTTATTATTTTCACTGTTATTCATTGCTAACATTCATCGTTTTCATGTATCTGAGTACACTGCTATGCATCAATACACACACACACACACACACACACACACACAACCTATGCACAGCACTGTAGAATTCTTACTGGATGTGTTATCATTAAAAATACTGTAAATATTTTCTTTTAGTTTATACAGCATAGTTATATAATCATTTACTAATCACATAATGTAGAACCAAGTTATTAGAGTTCTACATTCTTTCTCATTTAAGTCACTTTGAAAATATCACCTGTGATTTTCTCTTATTTTCTTCTTTTCTTTCTTTCATTCTTCCTTCTTTCCTTCCTTCCTTTCTTTTTGAAGAATAAAAATTTAGGTGACAAGATTTTTCATTTGTTTTTCCCACATCTAATCCATCAATGATATTTTTAGAAACTCACCTTTACTGAAATTCTCTAAATCATTCAAACTAGTTTTCATAGAATCTGTTTTTTCTCTGTATTCATAAATCAATGACATACCATATTTAATTAAATTATATATCAGTGTCACAAAACCACTTTCTGAAACAATTTGAATATTGATAAACCTAGGCTATATGAAGAGAGATAAGAATGGGGAGAATGTTTAGTGTTCATTGTATGTCGTTAAGGATGCTATCACAAATCCAGCCAGCCGATCAGTTAGAAATTCCTTAAAAGAATTTATTATTCATTGATAACATATCAGAAAATGACTTTGATTGATACATATCAGCCTTTGAGTAAGTACTATGAAATTTATCAAGTCAATCCCATATCACTGAGTATCCTAATGAAATGCCATGCCTACAACACTTTCCTTTTTATTTTTTTCTTTGTTTTCCTAAGGCATTTTCCTGTAATTCAATTACTCTGTCAGTATGTCCAAATTTCTTTCTCAAAATGTTATAATAATTTATGTTCCAATACTGGTATATGAGACCAGTTATTTCACAAGAAAACTCACCAGGGATGGAATCACTTCTTAAGTAAAATTAAAAATAAACAAAATGAAAAGAATAAATAAAGCAAAACTAAAAAAGTAGATACAAAAATAGACTTGGCAGTTTGATATGTAAAGCAATTCTTTGTTTTGGTTTGCATTTTAGGTTTTAAAATGTGAATAAAGGGGCCCTCCCTAGTGCTGCAGCGGGTTAAAACACTGCACTGAGAAGCTAAAGCCACTTCCGCATGAGTTAGATTCCCGCCTGCCCTGGAGGTGACCACATGGCGTGGCAGACCTCTCCTGACCCACCCACTGCTCCCCTCAGGAGTGTGCTTCGTCGATCTGCCTGTTCTGCTCCACGCTCTGTCTCTGGTGAAGCCTCTCACAGCCCCTGAGCCTCTGGCCTGTACTCCAGTTCTGTATGCACAAATAAATAAATTAAAAAAAAAATGTGAATAAAGGTCTCAATTTGTGGGACAAGTTGATGGTGTTTAGTAAGTCAAAAAAAATCAAGAAGACTTTATCTACTCCCATTTGGAGAAAGTCAATGTAATGGGCTTAAGTGGGTTTAGAGTACAAAGGAAATTTTCTTTCTTTTTTTTTTTTAATGATTTTTTTTGTGCAGTTTTTTTTTTTTAATCACAGTTGTAATCCCCATGGAATTTTCTATAGAGGTTCTGAAAACCTGTACAAGAATATGGCATCTGAGGAGGTTACTTACATCACTCCTGAAAGATCCATCTAAATTAATTTTTCTGGCACTATACCAAGAGAAACAAACCAGAGACTAATACAAATTGCACCAAAGGAACATGACTATTCATGCTTCATTAACAAGAGGTGAGCTGAGAGAAATTGCTGAAGGTGATGGTTTAGGGTTGGGAAGTTGTTATGCAAACCACTGTTCTGCTACTCTGCTCATGACCCTAGGGAGGGTCACTCACCCTTAACCAAGGAAAAATATGCCAAGGATCTGAGAGATTCTCAGTAGACTAGGTTTTCAGTGATAGGAACAGGATATGTTCCTCCTCCCCTACCTTCAGGTCAAGATCATCTCCCTAACACATTTACACCAGTGGCTGAATTCCTCTAAGAACTCATTCACAGCATGATTCAGCAGCATGTCTCTGTAACTAAGGAAGCTGGAAAAGGTCAACTGTCTACAGTCATATTAAAACCAGAGTACCATTTGCAGTAAAACTAGTAGTACACATTTCTAAATTGTTGATAAAAAATACTTAAAAAAATAGGGCAATATACAGCTGCAAAATGGGCAGACCAAAAATAAAACAAACACAAGAACATGGCAACTTGCAATTTCCAGGGAATCATAAGAAGAGAACAACACTACAGAATCGAAATACAAAGATAGGAAAGATTTTATCTTTCCATCAGATAGATAGTTCAAAATCAAATCATAAAGGAAATCAAATTGACGGAAGGAAACACAGTGAAGCTGATGAAGAAGACACAAGAAAACTCAGAAACATAACTGAATGACTGGAAAGATGCAATTAATCAACAGAAAAATAGAAACTGAGCTTTAAATAATAAAACAGCATTGAATCAGGACATAAAATGCTCAAAAGAGGATATTAAAAAAATTCTACAGAGAACTATGAAAGCAGAATAGATCAAATGGAGAATATAATCAGTGAGCTTGAAGATAATGCTATACGAAAGGCCCATGTGGAAGAAGAAAGAGAAATATGAACAAAAAAATATCAAGAAACACTTTGAGAACTATCCAACTCTTTAATGCGAGACAACAGGGGAGGGAGACAAATCCCGAAAGAGGGGAGGGAGACGAACAAAGAGCTTATTCAAAAAATTGTAAAGGAAAATTTCCCAAACATGACGAAGGAGTTGAATATACAAATTCATGAAGCTAAAAGGGCAGTCAGTAACGTAACTGTAATGCTACCTACACCAAGAAAAATAGTTATGAAACTATCACAAGTTCAAGACAAAGAGAGTATATTGAAGGTAGTTTGGTAAAAAGAAAAAAATAATAGGTAAACTATAAAAATACCTCCATCAACTTGCATCAGACTCTCTGAAACAACCATGTGAGCAAGGAAATAATAAAATGACATATCTAAAGATAAAAACAGCCAACTAAGAATATATATCCTACAAGATTCTTTTTCAGATATGAAGGGGAAATAAAACCTTTACAGACAAACAAAAGCTGAATTTGCAAATAGTATATCTCCCCTACAAGAAATGTTCATATGTGCTCTCCTGTAGAAATCAAAGAGAATGAGGAAGAAAATAGAATCAAAAAGTAACAACATGTTGATAAAAAAAATTCTCATATATTAACAGCCTTCCTAAATATAAACTGACTCTACTCACAAATCAAAAGACATGGACTGACTGGATCAGAAAACAAACCCCAACTTTCTGCTGTCCCAGGAAACACATCTGAGCTCCAAAGATAAACATAGGCTCAAAGTAAATGGTTGGAAAACTATCCCACAAGCAAATGGGACCTTCCCCCTCAAAAGGCAGGGACAGTCATAATGTCATCAGCCTAACTGGAATTTAGGTAGGAAGGTAGTAAAAGACAGGGAAGGAATTTATGTAATGATGAAGGGATTATCAGGATGAAACAACATTCATCAATGTACATATAATAAATGAAGATGCATCAAAACATGTATGCAACTATTAATAAATCTAAAAAGAGATATTGACAGAAACACAATTGAAGTAGAGAGCTTCACTACCCCACCTTCAAAAATGGACAGAGCAACCAGTTAAAAAAATCAAGATGGAAACAATCACCTGAAATGAAGAGATAAGTAGATATTTATAGGACACGTCACTGCTCACACCCCCCTCTGTAATTTTGAGTATACATTCTTCTCAACTTCTTATATACCGTAATAGAGGATAGACCACATCCTTGATCACAAACATGTGTCAATAAATCCATTAAGAATCAGATCATATCAGATATCTTCTCTAATCACAATGGTTTCATGCTAGAAATCAACCACACAAAAAAAGCAAAAACATATCTAGCATGTGTACACAGAACACACTATTGAATGACTACTAGGTCAATGAGGAAATCAAAGAAGAAATTTAAAAAAGTGACTAGAGAGAAACACAAATGAGCTTCTACAACCCATGGGACATAGCAAAAGCAGTAGTAGGAGGGAAGTACATAGCAATACAGCCCCATATCAAGAAGCAAGAAAGATTTCAAATTAATAACATAAACTTATACCTCAAAGAAATAGAAAAAGAAGAACAAATAAAAACAAATGCAGTGAAAGGAAGGATATAAAAATCAGAACAGAAATAAATGAAATAAAAAAGACAATCCAAAAAATCAAGAAACCAAAAGTGTAATCTTTCAATTGGAAAAAAAAAATAAACAAAATAAACAACTCTAATAAAGAGAATCAGAAATAAAGATGCAGAAGTAACAACAAATATCTCAGAAATGCAAAGTATAATAGGAGATAATAATCAACATATACATGCCAGTAATTTGGATAACCTAGAAAAAATGTAAAATTTCTAAAATACAGACATCATTGAAATTTACATGAAAAAAAAAAAAGATCAGGCAATAATCCTGATGAAAAAGTAGTTCAGAAGTATCACATGCCCCAACTATAAATTATACTACAAAGCTACACTATTCAAACCATTATGCTAGTTGAATAAAAATGATGAAAAGGAATAGAATTGAGTGTCCAAACATAATTCCACAGTTAATCTATGATAAAGGAGTGAAGAGTATATAATGGTAAAAAGAAAGTCTCTTCAACTGTTGCTGGATAGACACACGTAAAAGAATGAAACTAAATCAATATTTCACTCCATACATATACATACACACAAATTCAAAATGATAAGATAGTTGCATGTAAGACCAGATCATAAGATACATAAATGGAAGCAGAGTGAAACCATTAGGCTTGCCTCCTCCAGATATACACAACTGTATTGCAGTAAAACAAAGAAACCAAGCCATCCCACAACAAAACCCTGACAGAGAAATGGACATTCACTGCACAGGATAATATGCACATGCTGCCCAGCAGAAAAGTATAGGAAAAACTTTAAGAGGGCTTAATTCATAGTGACAATGGGACACTCACCAGTAGGAGGACCTGCCTTGCAGAGAACATTCCCTCCCATCTCCCAACTCCCTCATCAATAGTGCAGACACATTCCAACATCAGGGACTCCTGAGATCTGAGATCTGGAACTATACTGGCTAAGGGGTGTGCAGACTAGCACGCAGGATGAAGGGTGCACATTTGGAGAACTGCAGGGGTAGAGCTGCAGATCAGGGGTTACTGACTTGAGCCTAAGGCTTTCAACATGGAAAATCTGGAGCCTAAATTAGCAGGAGGCATCAGATACAGATTACCTGGGCATCCTCATAGGGGAGCCTAGATTGGAAGCCTAGGCTGAGGTATTCAAAACATGTGTCACCCCCAACTTCAAGGGCTAAAAACAAAACAAACAAATGCTTGAATGGACTGTCAAAACCAGGAGCAAAGGCATGAAGTTCTATGTGATGGAAAAGAACTCAGCCAGTGACTCCATATCAACTATAATTGATGCTGCACTTTGTGCTTACAAAGAGCCTGGAGTGAAAATGGGGGTGAGACTATAAGAGATGCTGACTGAGGAACTGAATAGAAGAGATCACTGTGGATTCCCACCATACAGGGCCCAGCACAAAATAACTCCATGAAAAAATATTCTTCATCACTTCTAGTAAGAGACATGCAGATTAAAACTACAATGAGACTACAACTAGTCTCACCTCACACCTGTGAGAATGGCTTGTATTAGAAAGACCACCCAAGAACAGGTGTTGGAGAGGATGTGCAGAAAAAGTTACCCTATTACACTGGTGGTGGGGTATAAGTTGGTGTCACCATTATGGGAAACAATCTGGGTTTACCTTAAGAAACTGAAAATGGGGCCCTCCCTGGTGGTGCAGCAGGTTAAAAAGCAGCACTACAAGCCAGCTGCAGCCAGTTCAGTGCAAGTTCAATCCCCAGCCCCAGGTGAGCCACATGACCTGTCAGACCTCTCCTAACCTGCCCGCTGCTCCCCTCAGCAGTGTTTTCCATCAGTTGGCCTGTTCTCCCTACTCTGTCACTGGTGAATCCTCTCACTGCCCCTGCACCTCTGGCCTGTACTCCAGTTCTGTATGCATAAATAAATAAATCTTTAAAATAAGAAAAAGAAACTGAAAAAGGGAAAACATGAAGTAAATCTAAAAATGGAAATACTGTAGCTCCCACCAATCCCACTCTTGGGGTACAGCCACAGAATATGAAACCATGAACACAAAAACCCATATGCCCCACAATGTACATGCCTGCACTATTAGTATTCATATTAGTATACTGAAGCAGCCTAAATATCCATCAGTGGATGATTGGCTCAAGAAGGTGTGAGATATAGATCCATATATATCTATCTAGATATATATGTGTATATACACTATATCCTATATTCCTATATATGTGTATATATACTGTATACTACATCTCTCTCTCTCTCTCTCTCTCTCTCTCTCTCTCTATCTATCTATCTATCTATTCACCTACACATATCATGGAGTTATTATATAGCTGTTAGAAAGGATGTAATGCAGTCATTTTCCCAAAAAATGGAAGGAATTTGAGAGAATTATGTGTAGCAAAGTAAGTCAGAATTATGAAAACAATTAATGGACATTAAAATAGCAGACAATTCAATAACATGAAGTACTTTCAGAAACTAATGGGTATTAACAAACACCCTGAGGTTAAGAGGGAAAGGGGAGCAATAGAGACAAAGAAATGCAGGGATGATAGTGATGAAAAAAATATGATTTAAAAATGTTGTACATTTTTGTCTGTTGCTGATCTAGCTCATCTAGTTATTCAGCTACAAAATGCAATATAGCTTGCAGGCTCCAGTCACTCTCATCAAACAGTTTTCTTAGAGACCTTCTGATAAGTGTTGAGACAAGCCTCTCAAAGGTGCAAGTCCCTTGCTTTCAGAAATCTACAATTATTGTGATTGTAACATATAATCTTCTTTGACAACCGAAAATGGAGCTAAATAGATAAAACCTCTCACTTCAGATACACAGTTCATTTGTAAATTATTTATACTCACACACACAAGTGTGGTGAGGATGAATTAAACTGGCCTTGGGAAAAGAATTCTATAGCTTTTTCCTTCCCAATTATACTACAGTGTAGGAGAATCAAATGCTATAAAATTATTTTTTTTCTGGGCCCTCCCTGGTGGCGCAGCGGGTTAAAGCACAGCACTGAGAATCTAAAGCCTCTTCCTCATGAGTTCGAACCCCGCCTGCCCCGGAGGTGACCACATGGTGTGGCAGACCTCTCCTGGCCCACCCGCTGCTCCCCTCAGCAGTGTACTTCCTCGATCTGCCTGTTCTGCTCCCTACTCTGTCTCTGGTGAAGCCTCTCACCTCCCCTGAGCCTCTGGCCTGTACCCCAGTTCTGTATGCACAAATAAATAAATCTAAAAAAAAATTTTTTTTCTTTATTAATACATTACACGTCATCCTGGTTTTTATTCTACTGCGGGGTGTTTTGTGTAACATACCCTTCTCACAGGGCTGACAGCAGAACAGACCCCCACGATGCAGGCCTCCTGAGCACTTGATCTCCCTTTTAGTAATGTTCTTTCTCAATTTCAACAACTCGGCCTCAGAGATGGTATCAGTCACTTGGGCATTCGCACCTCTGTACAATGATCCAACAATGGCAGTAAGTATCTGTAAAAGAAAAGTTTGGAAAGCATTTCATGGACTTCTGAACTAAGTGACTTGGTAAATGAACGTTAGCCACCTGGAATGGCTGATTTTGTGAGCTTGAGCAAGTCAACATAGGGCTTCAGTGTCCTGCTGACTCATCTTCAGAAAAGGAACTGTCCTTTGCATGGCAGTCCATACCTCCAGTTCCCCACACTGTCTTTGAAATAGCATCATGAATGGTAGGAGCCAGGGCTCTGTGCAAAAAAGTGACTACTGGCTCCTACTTACCAGCCTGAGACTGTGGGTAAGTCCTTAAATTTCCCAAGTCTCTGTGTCTTTATTTACAAAATTAAAATATTTGCTTTTTCATAGATTCATTCTGATAGTTAAATTGAACAATGCACTTAAAGCTTTTAACACATTTCCTGGCACATAGTAAGTATGTACCCAGTAAGCAGTATTATCATTAGTTATTATTATTGCTATTCTAATAAAGCTCTCATGAAGGGCAACATGGTGGAATAGGAAAAAACATTAAATTTCACTGTGACTGCTTTAAATCCCAGCTCTGCTACTAAAACGAAGTTTAGGCAAGTGTATAACCTCACTAATTGACAATTTCCTGATCTGTAAGTGTCAACAGTACTTTCTGTGTTAAAGGGCTTTCATGAAAGGATAAAATGTGATAATTTCTCCAAAACTTGGAGGATATTCTATCTCCCTTTTACACCTAGTAACAGAGCCAACCGGTTTTGATTAACAATTTTCTGATTATCCTATTATACAAGAAATCCAATGAGATTTTCTTTATACAGTAAATATTAACTTATTTTTACAGAGAACCAATGTTTAATCAATTTTAGTTCCTGTCTTCTGGAGATAAGAAGCCATAAGTCTAAATGACTTTGGTTCATATAACTTAGTTATAGATGTCCCTCCCTGGTGGTGCAAGCTAGCCACAGTCACTTCAGTGCTAGTGGGATCCCCGGCCCCCAAGTTGATCCACATCGGGCAGCGGACCTCCTCTGTCTCGCCTGCTGCTCCCCTCAGCAGTATGCTTCCTTAGTCTGCCTGTTCTGCTCCCCACTCTGTCTCTGGTGAATCCTCTCACTGCCCCTGCACCTCTGGCCTGTATCCCAGTTCTGTATGCATAAATAAATAAATATTAAAAAAAAAAAGAAAAAGGTACATCCCAAAATGGATGGAGGCATTTGGGGTTACTCTTTGGTTGATTTAATTCTCAACTTCTCCATTTTTTTTTTGTCTCTTCAAACATAAATTCAAATAATGTCTCATTTTACGTAGAATACATACATTCTATTGCCAGGTACCAAAAATTATTTAAACTTAGTTCTGAGAAATTTTTCCCTCTAGGTCATACCTCTGTATATTTCTATTCTATGGCATAATGATAATCTGAGTCTTGTATAAACACATACATACATAAATGGTTGCCACAGGAATCCTCACCTCTTCCCTCTGCTCTCTTACCCCTTCTTCACCAAAGGCTACTCCCTCATGTCACAGAACACCACAGCACCTCCAAGGATGGAGGGACAGGATAAGGAAATGTGGTTTCCTACTTTTCCTCCTAGGATGGGTATATTTAAAAATTCTGTTTTTAATATCCAGACTTTCAAGAGAAAAACTGACACCAGAATATCAAGAATAAACTTAGCATATCCAGGATACTTGCTAGCAAAAAGTAGAACTAAGATTTGTGTCAGCCTCCTAGCTTTTATTATAATGTGCTTTTCCCCTCTGCCCAACACACAGGTGAACTTACCCTAGAATATAGCTGATTTTATGTATGAACAATTCAATGTGAAGAATAACTGGATCTGGTCTGGTACACAGATCAAAGGAATCACGCCTCAATATGCTGACCACTATCAAACCACTCTCTTCACCCAAAAGACACGTCTTGAGCATCTACTCTGTGTCAGATATGAGAATACAAAGGAACATTGATTGTAATAAAAAAATAAATATTAAATTTCCAAAAGTAAATTTGCACTTGAGCATGGCATTTGTAATATATTAATAATTTGGAGGTGCTTTATACCTTCCATGGTAGTCTCCTCTTATCTGAGAGGGAAGACTCAGATAAAGTGTAACTTATAAATTGAGCACAGTAAGAGGAAAAGTAAAAACAAATAATAAAATTATAATAATTTATTATAATAAATCATCATAAACAAACAAAATATAACAATTTTAATAATAAATTATAATTGTATATAATAATAATGATGATGATGATGATCACAATTTTATTATAATAGATTATTGTAATAAATTATCATAATTATTATAATATAGTATTATAATTATTATAATAAATTGTTATAATTATACCAATTATAATAATATAATCAAAAGTTATGTGAAAGTGGTCTCTCAAAATATTTTACTGTTATATTTTTTAGAAACCAAGGAAAGCAAAATGCTGATACAGGGGACTTTGATGATACTGCAGCTTCAATTCCATACCACCATAATAACACAGTTATTATTATAAAGTGAGTTTTTTCCCTCAATACAAATAAAAGTTATGTCTAAACTAAAAAAAAATACACAAACCATAATTTAAAAATATTTGATTGCTAAAAACTACTATCATTATTGACCCTTCGGTGACTTATAATCTTTTCTCTGGGAGGGTCTTGCCTCCATATTGATGAATGAATAAAGGTGGTGATTGTGGAAGACTGGAGTTGCTGTAGCAATTTCTTAAACAACAAAGTTTGCTTCATCAATTCAGTTTTCCTTTTGTGAAAGATTTCTCTGTAGCATGTGAAGCTCTTGGTAGTATTTTGCTCACAGTAGAACTTGTTTCAAAAATGAAGTCAATCTTCTGAAACCCTACTGCTGCTTGATCAACTAAGTTTATATGTAATTCTAAGTTTCTGTTGTCATTTCTGCAATGTTCATAGTACCTTTACCAGACATAGATTCCATCTCAAGAAGCCACTTTTTTTGCTCATCCATAGCAAGTACTCCTTCTTCATTAGTTTAATCATGAGATGGTATTAATTCAGTCACCACTTTAGGCTCCATTTCTAACTTGAATTCTCTTGCTATTTCCACTACATCTACATTTACTTCCTCCACTGAAATCTTGAGTCCTCAAACTCATTCTTGATGATTGGGAGTCAAATTTTTCCAGACTCTTACACATTTTGATATTTTGACATCCTCCAATGAAATCAAATGTTCTCAATGTTACATAGAATAATGAATCCTTTCAATTGGCTTTGCCCAGATCCACCATAATGAATATGATTTGAAAGTTGAAATCACTTCTTGACTCATGGTCTGCAAATTGAATGCATGTTAGCAAGCATGAATCTTTTTGTATATCATCACTAGATGCAACGAGTAGTAATATTCTGAAAGGAAACTTATTTTCTGAACAATCGGTCTCAGTGGTAGCAAGTTACTTAATACACCATGTTGTAAATGGATGCACTGCTATCCAGGTTTTGTTGCTGCATTTATAGAACACAGGAAGAATAGATTTAACATGATTCTTAAAGACTTTGGAACTTTTGGAATTATAAATGACACTTGGCTTCAACTGAAAGACATAATCTACATTAGTCCCTAATAAGAGAGTCTGTTTCTTCTTGGAAGCTTTAGATTTAGGTATTGACTTCTCTCTGTTTATGAAATTCATAAATGGTATCTTTTTCTAACAGAAGGAATATTTGTCTGCACTGAAAAAACTGCTGTCCAAAGTTGCCACCTTCATCACTAATCTTTATCTAGGGTTAGATCTGGATAACTTGCTGAAGCTTCTATGTCAGCACGTGCTGTTTACTTTGCATTTTTTAAAGATTTATTTATTTATGCATACAGAACTGGGGTACAGGCCAGAGGTGCAAGGGTGGTGAGAGGATTCACCAGAGACAGAGTGGGGAGCAGAACAGGCTGACTGACGAAGCACACTGCTAAGAGGAGCAGTGGACCGGTCAGGACAGGTCTGCCGGGCCATGTGGGTCACCTCTGGGGGTGGGGATCAAACTCATGCAAAGTGGCTTTAGCCTCTCAGTGCTGTGGTTTAACCCACTGCACCACCAGGGAGGGCCTTACCTTGCATTTTTATGTTATGAGGATTTTTTTCTCTCCCTTAAATCTCATGAACCAATCTATGCCATTTTTAAACTTATCTTTTACACCTTCCTCCCCTCTCTTCACCCTCAAAGATTTGAAGAGTTATAACTTTTCTCTCAGTTGGGCTTTGTCTTAATGGGATGTCAAATGTCAAATGACGGGTTTGACCATTTATCTAGATCACTCAAACTTTCTCCTTATCAGCAGCTAGGGTGTTTTCTTTCTTAGCATTCATATCCTCACTGAAGTAGAACTTGTAATTTCCTTAAAAACTCTTACCTTTGCTAGCAGGTTATAAAATCAACACACAAAAGTCAGAGGCTTTCTTATACACAAACAACCAAGCAGAAGAAACAGAGATAAAAAAAACCATCCCCTTTTCAATTAAAACAAAAAGAATCAAATACCTGGGAGTCAACCTAACAAAGGAGGTAAA